TTAGTTGGTTTTGTTTTGAATTTAGGGTTTCGCGTTGAACTCTGCAAAAATCTACTGCGTGAAAATATTCAAAAATCTGCTTATGATTCATCTCCTTGACCCATTAGTTGGTTTTGTTTTGTTTTTGCACACATTGTTAATGAAATATGTTGAATCTTCTGTTAATATGTGCAAAAATATGTTAGAGCCTATGTTTATAAATTTTCATAACTCATTGATTAATCCATCACAAATGGGCTAATAATAATGTAGAGAACTTCACTGTTAAAAATAAAATTTTCTAAGCAACTTCAATGTTAGAACTTCATTGATTAATCCATTGATTAACCTGTTAGAACTTCACTGTTAATAAGGAACTTCATGTTAAATAATTTGAAAATGTTCATTTTAGATTAAACAATTATGTTACTTCTAAAATAAAATTCTCAGTTGAGACCCATTAAAATCATTCCCATGTCCTATGTATCTGTGCTTCATTGATTAATCCATTGATTATTCTGTTAGAACTTCACTGTTAATAAGGAGCTTCATGTTAAATAATTTGAAAATGTTCATTTTAGATTAGACAATTATGTTACTTCTAAAAGAAAATTCTCATTTGAGACCCATTAAAATCACCCCTTGTCCCATGTATTTGTGCTTCATTGATTAATCCATTGATTAATCTGTTAGAACTTCGCTGTTAATAAAGAACTTCATGTTAAATAATTTCAAAATGGTCATTTTAGATTAGACAATTATGTTACTTGTAAAATAAAATTCTCATTTGAGACCCATTAAAATCACCCCATGTCCTATGTATCTGTGGTTAGAAACAATAATTTTTTTTTTCCAATTTGCAATGTAAGTGTAAAAATGAACTTGTATCTTGCTTCCTTATAATGTTGCTTGTTATGTGATAAGAATAGTGGTGGAGGCAATCAGTGTTTTGTCTCTACTAACTCTTTTAATGTTTATTCTATTTCACTTTGAAGCTACAATGGATATTGATTCAAACAACAATTCATTCAATGTGAGTGAGGAAGTTGAGGAACAAGATAACAATGTTGAATTTAATGAGAGTGGTGAAGTGAAAGAATCGAAGAAGGGGATGTATTTTATCTCAAAGTAAAAAGTATATACATTTTATGCAAAATATGCGAAATAGCTTGGATTTGCTATAGCTTATAAAACACAAAATGTAACAAGGGATGGGGAAGCAAAGTACTTTGGAATTGAATGTACTCAGGCGCGAAATAGAACAAAAAGATCAGAAGTAAATCCCCTTGAACCATCTTTGTCATCAAAAATTGATTGTAAAGCAAGGGTAAAAGCCAGTCTACAAAAAGATGGAAGATATAAGTTAACCACAGTTGTGGTTGAGCACACTCATGATTTGATTCCGACTGACTCACGGTATTTTCCAATGAATAAGAGAATTCTTACTCCGGTGAAGAGGAGACTGGAAGTTAACGATGCAGCAGGGATTGGGGTGGCTAGGAATTTTCATTCCATAGTTATTGAAGCGGGGGGATATAAGGCATTAATGTTTGATGAACAAGATGCAAGAAATTATATTCAGAATGCTAAAAGATTGAGACTTAGGGTAAGAGATGCCGAATCAGTTATATTTTATTTTCATAAAATGCAACAAAAAAATTCGAACTTCTATTCGACAATTGACCTTGATGAAGATGGTCGCATGCGAAACTTGTTTTGGGCGGATGCAAGGAGTAGGGCGGCTTATAAAGCATTTGGAAATGTTGTCTCTTTTGACATAACCTATTTGACAAACAAATATGATATGCCTTTTGCTCCGTTTGTAGGAGTTAATCACCATGGACAGTCAATTTTGTTTAGTTGTGGGTTGTTAAGTAATGAGAACACAGAGACATTTGTTTGGCTATTCAAAGAATAGTTAAGTTGCATGTTAGATGCTCCCTCAAAAGCGATAATAACTGATCAGTGCAGGGCTATGCAAAATGCCATAGAAATTGTATTTCCACAGGCTCGACATCGTTGGTGTTTATTGCATATTATGAAGAAAATTCTGGAGAAATTGAGAGGATATTCGCAATGAGTCCATCAAGGTTGCTTTGAGTAATGCAGTTCATGATTCATTCACAAAAGATGAATTTGAGGGATATTGGGAAACAATGATTAAAAAATTCAATCTGAATGATAACGAGTGGTTGGGGGTATTATACCGTGAGCGACATAAGTGGATTCCTGCCTATGTTAAAGACATATTTTGGGATGGCATGTCAACTACACGATGAAGTGAAAGTATGAATGCATTCTTTGATGGATTTGTGAACTCCAAGGCAACCTTAAAGCAATTTGTTAAGCAGTATGACAATGCCTTGAGAAGTAAGTTAGAGAAGGAGATGAAAGCAGATTTTAAGTCTCGCAACAAATTGTATGATTGCTTAACAGTGTATCGTTTTGAGAAGCAATTTCGTGCAGCTTACACTAATTCAAAATTTAAAGAAGTTCAAGTAGAAATGAAGCGTCTAGTGTATTGACGTGCAAATCTTATGCAAGAGGAGGGAGCAATTTGTACCTATCATGTGAGGGAGGCTGTTCTTCTGGGTGAGGGGATGAAGAAAGTGGAATTTGTTTTGTACATTCACCTGAATGTGAGCTCCATTATATGTGTCGGTTATTTGAGTTTAGAGGTATTATGTGTGCCCATTCACTTTGTGTGCTCATTGAGAGATCCATATATGAGGTGCCAAATAAATACATTGTTTTAAGATAGAGAAAAGACTTGGAAAGAGGGTACACATGCATTCCAACTACATATACTAACTTTGGGTCTGCTCTACATCCAAAGTTGCATGATAACTATCACAACACGTTGGATGAGATCCTAAAACTTGCCACCAATGATGATGCTAAACACAAAGTGATTCAACTTGGATTGATGAAAATCAAGGATAAAGTAAGAACAGTTCAATCAAGTAGTACGAGTAATGTGCCACATACTAATACTTTACCACATTTCCATAGTTCACCAAAAAGTCCGCCTCGTATCAATACTACAAAAGAAAGCATGACTTGCAAGGTACTCAGTCCTTTGGTTGCTCGCCGAAGAGGCCGTCCATGTGCGAAATGAAAGGTTAGCAAGGTTGATGCAATAGTGAATCGGTTGAAGGGAAAGAATAAGAAGGCTAATCCGGTACAGGTACATTTTTCATTCCGCACTACATATGCATATTTCAGAATTTGTTAAACTTAAAATATTCATCACTGTCTGGTACTATAAGGTCGCAAGGTGCGTCAAGGCAAACCTCATAAGTTAAGCTTTCTTTGTACGGGAAGCGTGCAACACACTATGTATGAACCGGTACGTGTTAAATATGAAGGTTGTTTCATGTTTTTTTTGGATTTTAATTTTATTGCTTCAAATTACTAATTAACTTGTGTTACTATTTCATTATTAGGTACCGCAAAATCAACCTTACTATTGTCCTTCTATAGATGCCATAGAAAACAGTATGTATGTACCGGTATGTGTTGAACGGACTTAATATTATAAAACTTTGTTTGTTGTGGGTTGATATTCTAGTTCTTCAAATTACTAATGCCATTTTGTTACTATTTCATGAAAAGGTGCCGAAAAATCGACCTTACTATTTGCCTTGTATGGATGCTACACAAGACAGTATGTATGTACCGGTACGTATTGAATGTATTCTTGTGACAAATTAAATTTTATATTGGTGAATATGTTTGTGGAATTTTTTTTGTAATATTTACTTTATTTTTACAGGCACTGGTTAGCACAGTTGGGGACGACATTGGAAGCACATCTCATACTCAAGCTGGAATGGTCAACAATATTAGCAATCAAAGTTTGATAGTACCATCAAATTTTGTTGACTTGAACATTGACGGGGATCCGAATGTCCCATTTTTTTTTTAGTTTCGAAGTGCTAATTGTACGTAAATTTCATTTGTAAACTTCGGATTGTTTGGCTTCATTTGAAAATTGATGGAATTTGTGGCTGTCCCATTTTAGGTTGAATAGAATTACAAGTTCTGTGTGTATGTCCTGTGTGTATGTCTTTGTTGAATTTGTTGAGTGAATTGTAGGTCTTGTGTGTATGTCTTTGTTGAATTGAAAATTGGTGGAATTGGTGAAAGCTGTTGAAAGAAACTTGTTGACTTTATGTCTGTATGAATTACAAGTTCAACACAATGTCTGTGTGAATTAGTGGAAGTTGGTGGAAGCTGTTGTTCCCTTTTATTTATGTCTGTGTGAATTACAGGTTCATTCAAGGTCCTTCAATAGATTTCTTGAAACAGATTTCAGGTTCAACAGATTCCTTCAAAGAAACAGGTTCATTCAAGGTCCTTTAACCTATGTGTATGTTTCTCATTAAAGCTAACAGATTCTTGAAATATTCATCTCAATAACAAATATACATCTCAATAGAAGTCAAAGAAATGTGCACATTATACACATTATACATACTGTTAAGCAACCATCACATATAATAACAGAGCCTACATTCATAAGCAACCAATAATTGAGAATTGGTGGAATTGGTGGAAGTTGTTGAAAGAAACCTGTTGACTTTATGTCTGTGTGAATTACAGGTTGAACACAATGTCTGTGTGAATTATTCATGTCTGTGTGAATTGGTTGAAGTTGGTGGAAGTTGTTGTTCCCTTTTATTTATGTCTGTGTGAATTACAGGTTCATTCAAGGTCCTTCAATAGATTTCTTGAAACAGATTTCAGGTTCAACAGATTTCTTGAAAGAAACAGGTTCATTCAAGGTCCTTTAACCTATGTGTATGTTTCTCATTGAAGCTAACAGATTCTTGAAATATTCATCTCAATAACAAATATACATCTCAATAGAAGTCAAAAAAATGTGCACATTATATACATTATACATACTGTTAAGCAACCATCACATATAATAACAAAGCCTACATTCATAAGCAATCAATAGATTTTTAAGCAACCAACATAATTCTATTAAATAAGCAACCAACAGATTTTCACTTATTAATTGAGCAACCAACAGATTTTTAAGCACCAACAACAAAATACAAAACAAGTAGAAAAATAGATTACATTCATAACATTGTCCAAAACCTAACAACTGAGTCATTTACATGATAAAGTACAAAAATACACAAAATACAATGACATAAGTCATTGCCTTGAAAATCTTCTCTATCCTTTGAAGCCTTCTATCATGCTCATGAATTGCATTGTCCATCTCACCAAGCCTTCTCCTTAGATCATTAATTTCTTCTATTCTTATATCTGTCCGACGTCCAGCATTGGAATGGGTTGTGGAGGTAACATCATCGTCGCCATTATCTGCAAACCTGAAGTAATTGCAGTGTTCATTCGCACTCTACAATGCACAAGAATCAGTTAATCAAATCAGAGAAATGAAATTTGTAAAAAGTAAAAGATTAATTTATATAACAGATACTTACATATTTTGTTGGGCAAACAAAAAACACACGTCCTTGATTTCCATTCTCATTGGTTTGTACAATATACATGGAAGCTGTTTCTCCACAATCACACAATCTTGGCTTTAATCTTATGTTCCTATTATTAGTAGAAGATGAAGCCATTTTTTTAGCTGCATAAAAAATACCAACATATTCAACTACCTCATACTGATGCATAATGATGCATTCATAGTGATATGATCCATAAACAGAGTTCGATCTTGATAAATTTTTTTGCAAACATCACATTATATAACAGTTTTTCCCTATTACATGTGGTTGGATATATGGTCATTTTCCCTAGCTTGCAATATTTTAAGTCATATCCTCAGATAATTCTAAATCACCCAACCTGCCCAATCTGATCACATTACGGATGGTTTCGCTAATCCTATTGTCGGTAACGGTTGAGATTCTCAAAATTTAATTGAATTTGAGTGAGACATCGAGGAAAATTTATTTTTTCTCATGCCTTATAAGGTATAGAAATCCAACCAACTTTAATTCTTTCTATGAGCCACATTTTCCTCAATCTTTATGAATAATTGACTCAAAGCATCAGAAATTGACCACTCTTGGGTACCACTTACCCCTCCTCAAGTGTTACTTGATCTTTACCTTTATTTCTAAGTTCACTAAAATTGCATTCCAAATAATTTGTTTTAGTCCTATTTAACCTAAAAACTTTAGATTCAATAGTGTCCCCCACAAATTTAACCTAAGAGTTTACCCACTTATTTGTCAACCAGATCATATTATTTGCATACTATCTCGTACATGCCGAACATCAAATGTCCTAACATGTTTGGTCACCAAGTCAGTAACGACCGTGAAGTTTCTTTATATCAAATTAACTTTGGAATATGCATAATTTGTGTAGAATAGAACTCATAATCTACTACTCAACATGTCTAAATATTGTTCCTACATACAGATATTGAATGGTCTAAATATTTCTGATTTGGTTCTTACTCTGTAATTGTGCATTGTATTAGTTTTCATGTATGTTTAAGAGGTGAGAGCCAGTCAAACAGGTGGTCAGTTACAAGAATGATACTGTACAAAAATCTAGCATTCCAATTGATTAGTATTTAAAGAGTTTAACATTCATAAGAGTTCAACATTCAACATTCATAAACCAAAACCCTAACAATCTGTTTGAAGAGTTCAACGAACAAAAAAATAGATTCATAAGCCATAATGACAAAACCCTATGAATCTGTTGAATCTGTTTTGTCAAATGATAGATTCTATAAATCTGTTCGTTTGTAATCTGTGTTAGGGTTCAATGAACAGATTCGTTTGTAGAGTTCAAACAACAGATTTTGCAGCGTTCAAACAAAACCCCAAACAGATTCAAAAAATAGAATCAAAATAACAAAATGGGAACCCTAACAATCATAGATTCATAAGCCCCAAACACATTTTCGCACAATTAAAGGGAACCCTAACACAAATTCATGGCAAATTCGAAAACCAAAAAGTCACAATTGACGAATTCGAACAGAAATTGAAGTCAAAACATAAACCCTAGTTTTGTCGAATTTGGGTTTGCCTCATATTCGTTTTCTTCTGGTACATAACGACGAGTTTCCAGCGTTGTTAGCATTTGAGAGGCATTGAGCTGGTTGGTGAGGAGTCTTAACATAGCTAGTGAGGAGTTTTTACAGAGCTCGTCGCTCGTCAAGTAATTTTCATCGTCGCTCGTTGTTCGGCTCCGTTAGTGTATGAGTACAGAGGGAGGAGGTTTATGAAAGATGAGAATGAGAGGATTGAAGGGAAGGGATGAGATGGATCTAGGGAGAGACCATCAGCGATTCAACGGGAAGAGACGAGCGGCTTTGTTTGTCGAAATATTGAGTCTGAGGAAATGAGAGAGAGGAGAGCAAATATAATTCACATTTCGGGCCACTCAAGCCTCGTTTTTTTCGAGCTGCAAGCTATTTTCCAAATAAATAATAGCTAAATACTGAAGGTAGATTAGGCTCTAGCCTACTACGTCTCTTATGACCCAATTGCCACGTAGATAACTACTTTACCAAGCATAGCGTGATTTTTAGAATAAGTAGGCTTAGTATGGAACATATTTTTTTAGTAATTTTTTGAATTTTTGGTTAAAATATGATATATAAAAAATTAGTATATTTAGAATAATTTTTTAGTTTTTTAGAAAAAGATATACAAAAAGTTGAGTAAAAGATGAATCTTTAACTTTTTACTATAGATTGTTGGTTTTTTAATTTTTTTTAATAACTTTTTGACTTTTAAGCTAAAAAAATTACTTTCCAAACAAGACCGTAGTTGGAAAATTTTAATATACACCTCCTTATCATGTAGATAATTGCTTTGCCAAACATAGCATGATTTTTACAATAATTAGTTAGAAAATTTTAATATACACCTCCTTATCAGGTAGAATATTACTCTGCCAAACATAGCATAATTTTTACAATAGTCAGGATATTCTAATATACACCTCCTTATAAATATATGTACTCTATATATATATATATATATTTAATTATATCATTTTTTTAAATTATAACCAAATTCTTTTAATTATGATATTATTTTAATTATGATTTATAAATTTTTTATTTTTTTATAATTGATTCATAAATTCTTCAATTATGTCTCATATTATATTTAATTATGATATTTTTTAATTATAATTCAAAAAATATAAAGTTATATGATTTTTTTAATTATAAAATATAAATAATACACACCTTTTAAAGAGTGTGCATCATAATATTTTTCTAATTAGTCACGCGTAGGTACTGATCTCATATGGTGTGTCTTTTTCTATCAAGTGACATCAACATCTCCTATCATATATCTATGATGAATAATACTACAAACTCGTCTTTATTCATTTATAAATTATTCAAAAATTATACCATACTTTACATGGATCTTACATAAATCTTACATTATATAAATTAATTTTCACCACACAATCACTTTCTTAAAAAATTCTGAATAAATAAGTATGAATTGTCAAACTTTCCCATATATTATATATTGTTATATTATTAAAATCAATCGCCAAAAAACAAGAGACATTTCATATCAACTATATATTATCATTAGAGTTTCATAACAAGGGACATTTAATATATTATCGGATTGGGTTTCTTTATATTGTAATATCAATATGATAGAATTTGAGAGGTTTATAGAGTCCAACACAAGTCTTATTTCGATGATTCAAATCATTTATTTTGTAAAATTCACAATATATATTATCTATGAAAAAAGTTAGGTCGATCAAATAATCACAATTTTTTTATTTTATTACATTTGTTTAAAAAAAAAAAATGAACGACGAATATATAAATTTGAAATAAACTATTTATTTTTTAGAGACAAATGCATTAAAATGAAAATGTTACGATTATTAGATCGTTCTAAATTTTTTCATGAATAATATATATTGCGAGCACTATAAAATGAATAGTCCGAATCATTGAAATAAGACCCATATTAAGACCTACAAGTCCCTCAAATTTTATTATGTTAAGATTAACATGAGAGAAACTCAACCTTATCATATTACTAAAATTAATAACTAAAAACGTGAGACAAACAATAATACAGAGATCTAGATAGACAATTTAGATCTCGTAAACTTGTGCAATTTCTTGGTCCTTGAGATTATTCAAGAACATGCAATACTATAATTTACCATCTTATTCATTATAATTGTATTGATTAAATGTGTGTTACCATTGGGTACTTAATACAATGCACAAGTTCATTATTGATTGGAGAAGGGGTCATTGTCTTCTCCTGATTTTTTTGTGTGTATTATCCTCAAAGAATTTTCGAAGTCTTTGTTGTTGGTCTCCTATTAATTATATTAAAGTTTTGTTAAATCAATGACTACAAAATTGAGTAATGCTAGGATTCCATTATCAACATTTTTACTACTTATCTTACATGAATGGGACTCGTATGGTATAAATTTCACATCCATATAAGATATTTAATAAAATTAAGATCCCTAACGTTTTTCCTAAAAAATTATCAAATATTTCAGATCCATTTATATTGTCATATTATTAAAATCAATAATTAAAGACATATGAGACAAACAATAATACAAAGGTTAATTACACAAATGGTCCTAAAGTATTTAACATGTGTCATTTTAATTCTTAATATTTTAAAAATGTCAATTTAGATCTCAACTTGTTAATTTTATTGCTAAATGGTCATTACCTTCCTTTCTACCTACAATTGATAATGGAAGTAAGGATATATTTATCAAATCACATAATGAAATATAGTGAAATAATTTGATTATAAATTATTAAATAAATTTGATTTTTTGTATAGATAATTTACATATAAATTCTTATAAAATAAATAATTTAAATGATCAAAAAAGAACTAGGGATGAATCTGATAAATCCAACAATGTCCTTCAATCCACCATATATTGTCATATTACTAAAATTGATGGCTAAAAAAGTATAAAACAAATTATAAAATTCTAAACCGGAAACTTTTTTTTTAACGGAGCTGCTACATAGCTCGAAATCTTTATCAAATCACGTAATGAAATATAATGAAATAATTTGATTATAAATTATTAAATAAATCTAATTTTTTGTATAGATAATTTACACATAAATTTTTATAAAATAAATAATTTAAATTATCAAAATAAAACTAGGGATGAATCTGATAAACTCCAACAATGCCCTTCAATCCATCATATATTGCCATACAACTATGATACAGACCACTAAAATAAGACCACTAAAAGCAGCTCTAATGACGTGGCATGCCTAAAAAAAAATTAAACAACAATGATTCATCCCCCCTTTTCCCCCACCCCCTTTGACCCCCTCTCTCTCTCATTGATTACATTTTCTTTTTCTTTTTCTTTTTTTTCCTACTCCTCCAATCATCACCCGCCACGTGACAAAGAGGGGTGAGGGGGTGACCCCCAAAAGGGGGTCCCAAGCATTATTCAAAATTAAAATAGAAAGAAAAGAGGAAAAAGACGAAACACAAAGAGAAAAAAGACAATTTAATGCTCTTTTAGTGCTCTAAATCATTTTTCTATTGCCATATTACTAAAATCGATGACTAAAAAAGTATAAAACAAATTATAAAATTCTAAATCGGAAACTTTTTTTTTAATTGCTTCAACTGTAGACTTGTACAGTTTGATTTGTTATTATCTCTCGTCAAATCACTCAATCGAAATAAAGTATTAATGTTTCAAATCACTCAATCGAAACAAAGTATAATAATCCAATGCTCACGACCCATCCAAAATCGTGTGCCACTTACCATTCCAAGGCACTCTCGACAATACCAGTGCTAACTTTGGGCACAAGCGATCGCATTAGACCCTGGGAATTGATTGGGAAAAAAAAAAGAACTCAAAAAAATTTAGAAAAATATCAAATAAGTTTTATTTTTTTGTTATATTTGCTCATAAATTTTTTTTCTTTAAAAAAGCCTCTAAAAAAACAAAAACTTTTGAATTATTGAAAATTAATTGATGATTGTCTTTTAAATATATGAATTAGGGATGACAATGGATAACCTACCCTGTGGGTATCCATGGAGACCCAACCCAAATACATGGGTTTTCCCCTCTTTTTCTTATCCATTGGGTAGGGTAGGTGATATTCTTTAAATATCCACAGGGGATGGGTTGGGGATGGGTACCCACTAATTTCCCCATATGTTTTTTTTTTTTTTAAGATTCACAACTAAAACTAAATATACATTCAATTAAGAAACAAGTTACATATGCTAACTTATGAGATCATAAATGTACTAAACAAGGAATGAACCAATTGAAAAGGGTTGGACAACCTCAAAATAGCCCTTAATACATGGAAAGCATAGGTACAACATGCATGAAAAGAGCTTGGAAAGCTAAACAATAAATAAGAGAATTAAGGCTAGTAAGCAAGGATAAGGAGGGGTGGCTAACCCCTCCACTTTTAAAGCTTCAAAAAATGATTTTTAGCCTTTCTAAACCTCTAAAAATTAGTGTAAATATCAAAGGAAAAGAGTGGAGAAGAGAAGGTTTGAGTTATAAGTAAAGGTATAGAAAGAGCAATCTCTCTCTACCCTTTTGATAACTCTTCAAACCCAACTCCAATCACTTCAAAGAAGCTCAAAACAATTCAAAACAGCAAGAACTATGAAGTAAGTGAAAAAAAAGAAGGTAAGAGAGAAGAGTTTGCTGCCCATGTAGATGGCAGGATATCAAGTGGAACAATTTAAATCATTGAAAACTTACAGCAAAAACTTATTACGAGACAGTTTGAGATACAAAATATGTAATTACCCGGTAGTTTTGGACATTCAAGTATTAACAAATTTTATGGTGAAATATTGTGACTCATATTTATTAGGTAGTTGAGATACAAGTCTCATAGTATCACATGACATTACTTACATAATATCCTAAATGAATCATATAGCAAAAATTTTACAGGTAAGACCTGCTGACTCACTTTTGTTAGGTTGTTATGAGACAATGGAAAATTCATTTACTATGTGTTGCAATTTCTTATTGACCGAGAATATCATCGACACACATGATATTCCGAGAGTATCTCATAATTTTTTGGTGAAACTCCTCAATGAAATCATTAAAAATTAATTACGGGCGGAGGCGGCAGAGGTGACGAGCTCTTCTCTTCTCTCCTCTCTCTTTCTCCCTCTCTCCTCCTCTTCCCCTCTGTTCTCCTGTGTTCAACGAAGAAGAAGAAGAAAATCGCAAAACGACGTGGTTTTCAAATTTCGAGCCATTCGACCCTCACCCATTTCGAACTACCACCTATTTTTCTAATATGTTAGACACCTAATGTATACCCTTTTAGTGTGTATATATATTTATTAGCAATCGGCACACGCGATGCGTGTGCAACTCATTTAGAGTTATA